AAAAAAAAAAAAAAAAAATACTGAATCATCCCCTCTCTCTTCTATCACCTCCAACTCCCTGTGGAGCTCATGCCCACATCCCTCCCAAGATCTCTTGCTGCTAATCCCAGAAACATTTACAGCAATCGTCTGGACATACTTCTTTTCTTTCTTTAGCTAATATACAATTTTGCTATTTACAAAAGCTACAAATGGAATGCAAATGTGTCCATTTACTGTTCCGTGTTGTTGCTGCTGGGATTCTGATTCTGACGGGGAGAACGGTACATTTGTGAGAATTCAAATTTAGTGTAGATTTCAAAAGAGAAGGCCGGTTCTCTCGGTTGCTGGAGGTGCAGAAACACAATAGCCTATTAGCCTGTTGCAACTATGATATTGTACCTCTTGACACCCCCACACCGGACGTAGAGCTATTCACAGCCCCCCCCTTCACAGAAAAAGCAAGGCCATTCCCTCTCTGTAGTTAGCATGCTAAACTGCTTTCTCAGTAAGTTCGAGGGTGTTGGGTACTAAGTCAGAATTTTAGATAAGAAAATTGTTATTTAAATATTGGGCTTTTTTTTTTTTTAAGTTGAATTGACTGAAAAGACTAGTCTGTTCCACATGGAAAGATGAAAACTGAGATTGATGGTTACGGTCTCACTGCTATTGACAGGTGTGCAGGGAGTTAAGATAAACTCGTTCCCTGAATCCTGACATACTGGAACTAAGGGGATATAGTCAGAATTTACGAATGAAGACAATGGTGCCCCCATGAAAGGATTACCAGGAGGATTCTTTATTACTCCCAAGAAGTAGCTTGTGTGAAAACTCTATATATCTGGGGGGTAAGAGGTGGCAGGGCAGGGGCTAGTTAGAAGTGTAAAAGGTAGATTCAGTTTTGGAGTTTCCAGGAATTTCAGCTCTGGGTGGTGGTCCTCTTTGGAGGTTGGCAGCTGGAAGGAGACATACGCCCTTAGCCAGTGTCAGAGCTAAGGAAGGGCCGTCCAGCGGCTGGGCGTGACCCGGTTAAGCCCCTTCTGGCCTCTGCAGAGCTTCCTGCTCCTCGATCCCTCATTCATATGCACTTTCCAGGGCCTTATTAGTTGTCTGAATAGCTAATATACTCTACTAATTGAGTTAAAATGTTAATGGATGGTAATGACTTTTAATGTGCTGCCACTCCCACATAACTCCTCCGTCTCAACCCAAACAGTTAATGACTTAGCCTACAGAAGTGATTACTGTGGTATCTTCCGCTTTTCTGGAAAAAGCAGGGCAGGAAAAGGGACTTGCTTAGACAGAGGGGTCAGGAGGGGAGGGGCCAGGGGGGCTGAGCCAAGCTGTGTCCTGGTGGCAGTTTACTCAGCCTCAGCAGACGGGACACTTGCTGCCAATCTGACCGTGCCTCCTCTTTCCAGGAACAAACTGAGTTTTCTGTAAAAGCAGCTAGCCCATGTGGAGTCAGACCTTACGTGTCCTTATAGAGAGTTTCATGGTCAGCTATCACGGGGGGTCCCGAACACCCTCTGAGTCGAGTCCCGTCTCAGTAACTCTGTGCGGGGACAGCCTCCGCAGTACAAAGCTAGCTCTGTTTCCCAGCAGATGTACTGAGGGGCGTTGCTCTGCGGGTCTGGTTACAAGGATTTCTCTATAAAGGGTGGACACTTATTCAATAAGTTTCCACTTTTCCTGGCTGCTCTTAATGGCTCTTTATAAGTGAATCCAAAGGAGGGAGGCTCTGAGCCTGGGATGATAACATGGGAAACGCAAACAGAGTCTGTTGTAACATTGCTGGTGGCTGTGCGGTTTACCTGACCCAGGGGAATTTAGGATCACCACAGCCACCCCACGATGTTCCGAACAGCAAGAGTGTAGTTGGTAGAGAAGCAGAGAGCAGAGAGCGGGGCTAGCCAGCTTCTTCTTGCTCTTGGGCGATCTTATTAATCAATTATAAGCCACTCAGGAGACCATAGCTGGGTTGCAGCTCACATCCCATATCATAATTACGCACTTACACATCTGTCTTCCTCCTGAACCGTGAGCCACTAGAGGGCAGGAAATGTGTGTCTCTCCTCTTTGTATCTCGAGTCCCTAGCCCAGAGCCTGGCAGAGGGTAGGTGCACAATATTGTTGAGTGATGAAGCGAAGGACTGCCTGCCTGGAATATTGAGCAGCGTTAACAGCTGCACCCTGTTCACACCTCTCCTTGTTCAGGTATCCCAACCATTCATCTCAGAAAAATAAGATAAAATGATAAATACAGCTCCAGAACTCCTAAACCACCCAGCGAGACAGGGGGAAAGATCTAGGCACTCAGAAAAGATCTAGGCACTCAGAAAATTCAGAGAAACGCCTGGTTAGACCACATGGCCTGGAGTGCTGGTGGAAACCCTCTTTTGATGTGTTACCATTTCTAAGGGATGGGAAGAGTGGCATCCAACAGTCTCCCCACAAGAAAAATAAGTGGTAATTTAGAGGAGTTCGCCATAATAGTGCCTGAATTTTGCAAGGGGCTGGGAAAGACATGAGGTGCTAACAAGGGAATTGGGACACCCCTCCTCTGGGGAAAAGACATCTGCTCCCCACACGCAGAGCTTTCCCCTTTCTCTGTGCTGCTTTCTTCTGCTCTCCAGGAGAGGCAATGTGCCCCTCCCATTCATTCAGGAGTCCTTTCCTGGCCGTTAGGACATTCCATACAGCTTCTCAAACAGGACTCTTTTCCCCAAACTCAAACCCATGGACCCTTTCATAATAAACCAGATCATTTCTGGGGAGTTAACATTTCCTGGTTTCAGGATTGTTATAGTTAGTGCAAGAAAAAACAAAAACAGGTAACTATTAATTTCAGCAAAACGTAACTGGGCGCTTCTCACCCCAGGCTAAGGGTTGGTGCACAATGTAAGTTGAGTTAAATTGTCTAAGACTGGGGAAGCATAAAATATTAGGCACTGGGGGTAGGAGAACGTTAGTCCTTGTAGGAGCCATCTTTTCTAGCAGGCCTTTAGAGCAAGATAGGGCTAGGGTGGGAGGAGGGGGCTACTGATTTTCCAGGCAAGGGCGAGAGCTGAAGAAACGCAGTCCAGCCTGGAGTCAAAACTGCAAGGGTTAAGCGAGGGCGGTCCCGAGTCTGCCATTGTGGGTAAAGCAGCCACTCCTCCAGCTTAGGCCGAGGGTCCCAGCCTGGGCTGTGTGACCTCAGGCAACTCAGGGAGCCTCTCCGAACCCAGTCTCGGTCTATCCGTGGAGACCAAGATGACTGCCTGGTGGTGGTGGCGTGGGGGGCTGGGGTGTCTCGGGGCTCAGCCCCTGGCCCACAAACTGCGGTCAACATCTCCTCCAAAGTTGGCCAGTCTTGGATATTTCTTCTCCCCTCCCCTTCCCGAACCTCCTCCTAATCTGTCAACTGCTGAAGCATCTGCCTGCCTGACAGCGCCTCCCCGCCGCACGCCGGGGGCTGTCCCCGGGTGTCGGTCTTTGTGTCGCGAAAACTTTTAGAAAACGAAGAGGCGCCGGACAAAGAGCGGTCGGAGGAGGGCGTTTGCCAGCCGCGGGGTAGCAGGGCGGTGCTCGCCCTTCCCTGGGCTCAGCCGGGCGCCTGGACGCGGCGCCCCGAGCTCGGCCTTCCTAGGCGGGGGTGGCAGGCTCCGGCCACGTCCCGGCGCCCCGGGAGCTGAAAGAAGGCGGCGGGATAGGCAAAGGCGGCTGCCGGACATCGGGGTGGGAGGAGGCGAGCAGAGGCGCGGAGCAAAGCTGTCAAACTGCGCGGGAGCCCCACGCGGGGCGGGGAAAGGA